TACCACCTGGGCTGTGAGAGGGGTATATATATCCCCCTGGGAGTGTGAGGGGAGGAAGTAATGGAAATGGGGTGGGTCGTGGAAGAAGGAGAAGGATTGAGCTCACCACAGAGTCAGACCAGGGTCCGGACTCCCCCCTCTCCCCAATTCCCAGATTGTTCTTTAGGATGTCGTTCTGGAACATCCCCCTTCCCCCCACAAAACTCCGTTGGGTATGTCGGAGCGTTGACTCACTCTCTGTCTCTGTCTGTCTCCCCTACCCCCGGCAGGTACGAGCCTACGGTCCTGGTCTAGAGAGCACAGGGACAGTCATTAACAAACTCGCTGAGTTCACGGTTGATGCCAAACAGGGTGGGAATGCCGACCTGAAGGTGTACGGTCAGGTACGTAAGGTCCAACTCGCAGCATTTCCACCGTGTCCATCCGTCCGTGTGCCTGTCCGTCCGTGTGCCTGTCTGTCTGTCCGTGTGCCTGTCCCTCCGTGTGCCTGTCTGCCCGTCAGTCCATGTGCCTCCACCATTCACTCCTATCTGCCTCGCTCCCTCCCTCTAGGACACTGAGGGGTTACCTATCGATGTGAAGGTGAAGGATAATAAAGATGGGACATATTCCTGCTCCTACTCCCCAAAGAAACCGCTCAAACACACTGTGATGGTCTCCTGGGGAGGGGTCAACATTCCCAAGAGCCCCTTCCGGGTAAGTGTCTGCGTTTTTATCCCCAACCTCCCCCCTCCCCTGACCCCTACTTCTCCGCACTCTTCCCCCAACCCTCACCCAGCTCTGTCTCTCTCTCTCCTGCACCCCCGACTCTTGCTTCCTATCCCCACTTGCGTCCTTTCTTCCCCTCTCCTCACTCTGTTCACCCCCCCTCACTCCCTCACTCCTCTTTCCCTGATCTTTCCCCACCTCCCCCCATCCCTCCCTCCCCCACACCCTCATGCCTCACCTTCTCTTTTTCAGGTCAATGTCGGAGCGGGCAGTCACCCAGAGAAGGTCAAAGTTCACGGGCCAGGAGTGGCCAAGACTGGGCTCAAGGCCTTTGAACCAACGTACTTCACAGTGGACTGTGCAGAGGCTGGGCAAGGTGAGACACCACCACCACCATCCCCCCCACCGCCGCCATCCCTCGTACGCCCTTACATCTCCCACACCCCCCCCTCCCTCGTACGCCCTTACATCTCCCACACCATCCCCCCATCCCTCGCAGACCCTTACATCTCCCACATCCCCCCATCCCTCGTACGCCCTTACATCTCCCACACCCCGCCATCCCTCGCAGACCCTTACATCTCCCACACACCCCATCCCTCGCAGACCCTTAAATCTCTCCCCCCACCACACCACCTCCCTGTACCTTCCTCCCCACTCCATGGTAACACCCTGTCTATGGCTGGACACAGAGAAATGATAGCAGGGTGCAGGAACAGGTGGGGGCAGGGGAGGTAGAGTGACATTTGTGTGTAATTGTGTGGGCAGGATGGGCCGAGGGAGAGGGTGTTATTGAAGCAGACGTCTCCCCGTGTCTGCGTGGGTTTCCGCTGGGTGCTCCAGTTTCCTCCCACAGTCCAAAGATATGCAGGTTAGGGTGGATTGGCTGTGATAAATTGTCCCGTAGTGCCCAGGGATGTGTGGGTTAGGGTGGATTGGCTGTGATAAATTGTCCCATAGTGTCCAGGGATATGTGGGTTAGGGTGGACTGGCTGTGCTAAGTTGTCCCGTAGTACCCAGGGATGTGCGGGTTAGGGTGGACTGGCCGTGCTAAATTGTCCCGTGGTGCCCAAGTATGTGCGGGTTAGGGTGGATTGGCCGTGCTAAATTGTCCCATAGTGTCCAGGGATGTGCAGGTTAGGGTGGGTTAGCCATGGGGAATGCAGGGTTACAGGGATAGGTTGTGGGGGGGAGTGGTTCGGAATGGGATGCTTTTCAGAGCGTCGGTGAAGACTCGATGGGCCAAATGGCCTGCTTCCACACTGTAGGGTTTTCATGATGTTCTTCTCCAAGAGAGAGATTTGATTTACATGTGTTCGAACCATGAGGTGGGTCAGGGAGGGAGCAGATGGAGGAAGAAACCATTCCCTGTTGGTGGAAGGATTGAGAGTCAGAGGGGACACAGTTTGAAGGTGATTGGCCAAAAGGGCAACGTGGAGAGGCAGTTAGGGTCTAGAATGTGCTGCCAGAGAGCGCGGAGGGGTGAGGTGGGGAGGCAGGTTTAACCCAGACTTCCCAGGGAGTTGGATCATTATCAGAAGTTTCTTTTAGTCATTTGTGGGACGTGGGTGTCACTGGCTGGGCCAGCATTTATTACCCTGCCCGTAATTGCCCCCATTGAGAAGTTCGGGGTGAGCTGCCTTCTTGAACCACTGCAGTCCATATGCTGTAGGTTGACCCACAATGCCCTTAGGGCGGGCAGTAAAGGTTCAGGGTCTGTGTGGGTGAGCAGAGGCCGAGTGGATGAATGGTTTGTGCAGAGGGCTAGCACAGACTCGATCAGCTGAATGGCCTTATCATGCTCCTCAGTCAGGAATACTGGACAAAAGTTTCCAGACAGGCTGCAATCAGGATGTTCTGTCGCGAGGTGATTGTGTCTATCATTGTCTGAGTTTCTCTCTCTCTGTGTCCCCACCACTCTGTGTCCACCTCTCCCTCTCTTTCTGCGTCCCTCTGTCTCTGTGTTCCCCCGTGTCTCTCTCTCTCTGTATCCCCCGCTCCGTCCCTTTCTCTGTGTCGCCCTCTCCCTCCCTCTCACTGTGTCCACCCTATTCTCTCTCTGTGGCCCCCTCTCCTTCTCTCTGTGTACCCCTCTCTCAGTCTGTGTCCCCCTCCCGCTCTCTCGCTCTGTACCACCCCGTCTCTGCTCCCACCCCCTTGCTGTGCTGATATGATTCTAACCCACTTCCTCCCTGTTTCTGCAGGTGATGTGAGTATTGGGATAAAGTGTGCCCCTGGGGTTGTGGGACCTGCTGAGGCAGATATTGATTTTGACATTATCCGTAACGACAATGACACATTCACAGTGAAGTATACCCCCCCGGGAGCTGGTCACTACACCATCATGGTCCTGTTCGCTGACCAGGTCAGTATGCGCAGTGGGAGGGTCTATCTGAACAGGGGAGGGGCAGGTTACAGAGATGGGAAAGGGTGTAGGGGGCTGGAGGAGGTGACAGAGATAGGGAGGGGTGTAAGGGGCGGAGGGGGTGACCCACACTCCGTGTCGGTGTAAACCTGTGATGTTTCCTGTCCCACAGGCAATTCCAATGAGCCCCCTGAGGGTAAAGGTCGATCCTGCACACGATGCCAGCAAAGTAAAGGTGGATGGACCTGGGGTCAGCCGCAATGGTAAGGCAGCATTCAGGCCAGGTGTGGGAAAATGATGGGGAGGAGGGAGAGGGAGAGGAAGACCGGGAAGGTGTGAGGGACAGGGAATGTGAGGGATGTGGGCTCAGAGGGGAGTTTGCAGGGGGTGAAGTCTGCAGCTCCTTGTCCTTCACTGGGTGCAGGTGACAGGTTTGGAAGGTGCTGTCGGAGGATCCTGGGTGAGTCACTGCAGTGTGGGGTGTGGACGGTGCACACTGCCGCTGCTGTGTGATGGTGGGTGGAGGGAGAGTGTTGAACGTGGTGTTAGTGTGTTCATCGAGTTGGGGGGGTTGTGTGCTGAGGGTGGGGGGGTTTGCGTGTTGATTGAGTTGGGGGGGGGGAATGTGTGAGTGCTGAGGGTGGGGAAATTGTGTGCCGTTGCCCATGCTGCACAGGTTAGGGGTGGGCTCAGTTGTTGTTGCAGGGAGCCAGCATAGAGTCAATGGGCTGAATGGGGACAAGACTCTGTCTGGGTGGAAGTGAGTTGGGGATGGAGTTACTTTGGTCCAGTTACAGAGTGTGGAGTCTCTGCTCTGAGTAACCATTTCCTCTCTCTCTCCCCCAACCCCCACCTCCGTCTCTCCACCCGCCCCCTCCATCTCTCCCCTCTCCGTCTCTCGCCCCCTCTCTCTCTCCCCCACCCCCACCATCTCTCCATCCAGGGGTAGAGATGGGGAAGCCCACCCACTTCACGATTCATACAAAAGGAGCTGGAAAGGCCAAGGCCAATGTGCAGTTCACGGGGCCGACTAAAGCTGAGGCAGTGCGTGACTTTGACATCCTCGATAACCATGATGACACCTACACTGTCCGATACACGCCTGTACAGCAGGTAGGTCTCTCTGCCTTGCTCTGGCCTTCAGAGCTTCCCTCACAGATGTCAGGAGCTGAGGCCATTCAGCCCCATCGTACCTGTCACCATGATGACACGAGCAGGCCCCAACGGAGTGGGTGCCACATCTCAATGACCTCAGGACTGGCCTGTGACCAAACTCCGAGTGTCCACCATCACCCTGATTTACTCGGCACCGTTCGGTTAAAAAGATTCTCCCAGTTTCTTGGATTTAAAACCTTCAATTGACTCGGTATTGGCTGCTATTTGCAGAAGGTCATTTTTACTGTGTCATCGCGCTGGCAGAATGGCCTCTGTTCCTGTATAACAGGCTCGAGGAGGGGGCTGAATGGCTTCCTGTTCCTGTGTAACAGGGTCAAGGAGGGGAACCAAATGGTGTCCTGTTCCTGTGTAACAGGGTCGAGGAGGGGGCTGAATGGCCTTCTGTTCCTGTGTAACAGCCTCGAGGAGGGGGGCCAAATGGCCTCTTTTCCTGTGTGACAGGCTCGAGGAGGGGTAGTGGGGATGCTGAGTGACTGAGTCTGATTTCTGGATCAGGTTCTGACATGTCGTGGTTTATTCTTCCAACCCCTCCCCACCCTCTTCCCCCACACCCTCTCCCCCCATTGACGCAGGGCACCCTGGGAGTCGGCGTGACATATGGAGGTGACAATATCCCCAAAAGCCCCTTCAATGTTGGGGTCTCTCCAACTCTGGACATGAACAAGATCAAGGTTAATGGCCTCAGCGACAGTGAGTGCAATGTTCAAACTTTGCAGCGTGGGGGGGGGTGGGGTTGCTGAGGGGGCCAGATGAGGGGTTTATGTCTGGGCGGTGGTGTTTGCTGATTGACTGCATCTGAGAGTCTGACTTAACAGGTTGTTCAGGTACCAACGTACTCACCCTCTCCTCATAAAACAGTCTTTCTCTACCTGGGGTCAGCCAAGTGAATCTTCTCTGGACTGGCTCAAACGCCAGTCTATCTTTCCACAGATAAAGGACCCTAAACTGTTGACAGTATTCCAGCTGTGGTCTGACTAGTGCCTTGTACAGTTTTAGCTAAACCCTCCTTAAATACTCCATTCCCTTTAGAACAAAGACCAACGTTCCATGTGCTTTCCCTATTACTCGCTAAAACTTGGCTGCTAGCTTTTTGTGGTTCATGGATAGAAACTCCCAGATTCCACTGTTCTGCAGCTTTCTGCAGTCTTTCTCCATTTCAATAATATTCACCTCCTTTTATTCTTCCTGGCAAAGTGCATAACCTCACTTTTCCCCACATTATATTCGTTTAACCTGTCTATATCCCTCTGCCAATTCTTTGTGTCACCGTCGTTGCTACCCTCTGAGTTATTTTTGTTCCTGAATTGGGTACATGCTTGTTGTAGATGGACTTTGCTTTTAAAAGTGGTTTGCCCTTAAATAAATTGCTAAATAGACTGAAACTCTGCTTTCTTTCCACCTGGGTGTGTGTGTATACACAATGCTGCGACTGTGCCTGCTGCTTTGGATTTGCGAGCTGTGTCAATGGCAGGATTGTCAGTCCGCATAATGCCTTGTTCGGTGCCTTAATGTTTCGAACGAAGTAACTCTCAAAGGTCATGCACAACCAGCCACCCATTGTTGAGCCAATTGTCAAAGGTGTGACCAATTTGGTGACGTTGCCACTTCTCAGGAGGCGGGGGGTGTTAGCAGGTGGGAAGAATTTGTGATGCCAGTGCTGTCCGTCCCTGGGGTGGGGGTGGTGAGGGCAGATTGGCTCCATCAAGGCCTTTCACTTCTCTTTCTGTGTTCCCTGCCTGTGGCCTGGCAGAGGTCGAGGTGGGAACTGACCAGGAGTTCACAGTGAAGTCCAAAGGTGCAGGTGGACAAGGCAAAGTGAACGCCAAGATCACAGGACCAGCAAATAAGTCTGTGCCCTGCAAGGTGGAGCCAGGTCTCAGCCCTGACAACAGCATCGTCAAGTTTATCCCAAGGGACGAGGGAACCTACCAGGTGGATCTGACCTACGATGGCATCCCAGTGCCAGGCAGCCCCTTCCCACTGGAGGCAGTCGCTCCCTCCAACCCATCCAAGGTGAGGCACACCTCTCGGCGCTGACACTCCAATGCTCGTGCACCCCTCGGCACCGACCCTCCGACAGCGCTGCGCTCCCTCGGCACCGACCCTCCGACAGCGCGGCGCTCCCTCGGTGCCGACCCTCCGACAGCGCGGCGCACCCTCGGTGCCGACCCTCCGACAGCGCGGTGCTCCCTCGGCGCCGACCCTCCGACAGCGCGGCGCTCCCTCGGACAGCGCGGCGCTTCCTTGGCGCTGAGTCAGTCCAGGAGAGTGAGAATGGCTAAAGTTAATGACCTGGGATTGATGTCTGTTCTATTTTGCCCTTGCTGCTCAGGTGAAAGCATATGGGCCAGGCCTGAGAGGGGGAGTTGTGGGGTCTCCGGCCCCCTTCACCATTGATACCAAAGGTGCGGGGACGGGAGGACTTGGCCTGACTGTGGAGGGTCCTTGTGAAGCGAAGATCGAGTGCTTGGACAATGGCGATGGTACATGCTCGGTGTCGTATCTGCCCACTGAGCCTGGTGACTATCTGATCAACATCCTGTTCGCTGGCTCACACATCCCCAGCTCACCCTTCAAGGCCAGCATCAAAGCCTCCTTCGACCCGTCTAAAGTGAAGGCCTGGGGCCCGGGCCTGGAGCGAGGCCGGGTCGGAGAATCCGGAGATTTTGTCGTGGACTGTGCAGGCGCCGGCCTTGGGGAACTCAACATTGAGATCACTTCGGAGTCGGGAGCCCCAGCAGAGGTTCTGATCCAGGATAATGGAGATGGCACCTACACCATCACTTACATCCCATTGTATCCAGGCACCTACACCATCACCATCAACTACGGGGGACAACCTGTGCCAAACTTCCCCGCCAAGCTTCAGGTCGAACCAGCTGTTGATACGTCTGCCATCAAAGTCTACGGCCCTGGGGTCGAGTCCCGAGGTGAGGCCCCCACATCCATGTGTCTGACACTCCCTCCATCTGTCACCTCCTCCAGCCACTACATCCCCTCCCTATCCCTGTCACCTCCTCCAGTCCCCTATTCCCCCTCCCTATCCCTGTCACCTCCTCCAGCCCCTACATCCCCTCCCTATCCCTGTCACCTCCTCCAGTCCCCTATTCCCCCTCCCTATCTCTGTCATCTCCTCCAGCCCCCTACACCCCCTCCCTGCCTGACACCTCCTCCTACCCCCCTCTCTATCCCTGTCACCCCCTCCAGCCCCTACACCACCTCCCTATCTCTGCCACGTCCTACAAAGCCCTTCTGCAGGGAAGATTCACGGGAATGTAATGGGGGGAGTGTGGTCGTGGTGGTAGGGGGCTTCAGTGACGTGGAGAGGTTGGAGAAGCTGGGACTGCCGTCCGTGACAGGGAGAATCCCGAGAGGGAGATTCGATCGAGGCGTGTTCAGAACCACAAGAAGGCGGGGGTGCTGCTGGGAGGGAACAGACAGGGAGAAACTATTCCCTGTTGGTATAAGAATTGAGAGTCAGAGGGGACACAGCCTGGAGGCCATCGGCTAAAAGGGCAACACACAGCGAGTGGTTAAGGTCTGGAATGCACTGCCAGAGAGCGTGGGGAGGGGGGCTTGTGGCTGCAATCAGTGGTGGGGGAAAGGGGGAGTTATATTTTTATCTGAAAAGGATGAATGTGCATCTTCCTCGGGGGAGAGAAGGGGAGGGCAAGTGCCACTTGCTGAGTCACTGGGCCAGCCCTGGGAGCAATGGGTCGAATGTTTGCTTGATCGCTGTTGAATTGTGGTTGAAGTTTGTGACTACCTTCCTCCACCAATGAGAGAGGAGGCTTTCGTACTGGGGCTGTTTGATGGCGGGGGGAGGAAGAAAGGCTTTTCTGGTCAGTGGCCAGAGCTAGGCCTGAGGCTTCGGGTCTTCAGGAAAGGCTTTGTTATGGACCTGAAGATAATTAATTCTCTTTCTCACCCTCTTCCACACACCTCCTCCCACTGAATCCTCATTCCCGTTCATCCTCCTCCAGGTGTTTTCCGAGAGGCCACTACGGATTTCAATGTTGATGCTCGGAGTGTGACAAAGACGGGTGGAAACCACGTTAAAGCCCGTATTACTAACCCCTCAGGCACTCACACTGACGCCGTGATCCAGGATAAAGGAGATGGCACCTACAAAGTCGAGTACACCCCGTTTGAGGAAGGTAGGGAGCTCCCTCTGACGCTCTGCAATGTCTGTTTCTCTGGGTCAAATTGGAGCCAGTTCAGAAAAAGTTCCCTCGGCTGGTGTCCGGTCCGTCTCCCGAGGAAAGGGTGAGCAGGTTGGATCAGCAGAGGAACATGAGGTGGAATATGGAAATGGGAATGTTGTGCAGCATTTCTAATGGGACATGGAGATGGGAACTGTGCACAGCATTCCCACTTGGATATAGAGATAGCAACTGTGCGTGGTATTCCCAGGAGACAGGGAGACAAGAACAATGCATGATATTCCCAGTCGGATGTGGAGATGGGGAACTGCGCAGTCTTCCCAGTGGGTTAGGGATGCAAGAACTGCGCACAGTTTTCCCAGTGGGATACAGAGACAGGAACAGTGCATAGCATTCTCAGTGGATACAGAGATAGGAACTGTGCATGGTATTCCCAGTGGGATGTGGAGAAGGCAGCTGTGTACGGTATTCCTAGTAAATTGTGGAGATGGGAACTGTGCACAGTAATTCCCAGTGGGATACAGAGCTCGGAATGTTTTATTCCCAGTCAGATGTGGAGATAGGAACTATGCGCAGTATTCTGAGTGGGTTAGGGATACGGGAACTGTGCACAGCATTCCCAATGGATTTTGGAGACCAGAACTCGCTGCTTCAAATCGACTGAGTTTACTTATCACATCTCACTCTCTCTCTCTCCGCCTCCCTGTCCCCTCACTTTCTGTCTCTCTCTCTCCCTCCCTCCCTCCCCTCCCCTCTCCTCTGACACCCTAGGGGTACACACCATCGATGTGGTCTACGATGAGGCTCCCGTTCCGAGCAGTCCATTCCGGGTGCCGGTCACTGAGGGCTGTGATCCAAGCCGGGTTCGGGCCTACGGGCCAGGCCTCGATGGAGGAATTAGCAACCGCCCCAACAAATTCACTGTGGAGACTAGGTAGGCCAGGCCTGGCTGAGGGACCCACCCCCCTGGGAACCCCCATCTCTCTGGGGACCCTCCCTTTACCAAAATGTAGGGTTTGGATACCCCCTGCCCTCCGCTGTCAAAGTGACGCACCGTGTGCGGCTCCTTGGGGTGGGATTGGGAGGTGACCACATTTATTTGGAGTGGTTGGGGTGGGGTGGGAGGTTACTTGTCGGGGTAGGGTGCTTGGTCGTCCTTCTTGGGTGTCCAATATTAAACCCTCATCAAAATTCCACACCTTCTGGATCTATGTGTGGAGCTCGGGAGCTTCCTGTGTGTGAATTAGGTGCTCCGTTTCCTGCCTGGTTGGGAGGTTGCTATGGAAATGGGGCCTTCAGCTGCTCGAGGCCTTTTCTTTTTGCGGGACAGTGGGCAGGCTCTAGGCAGCCTCAGGAATGCAAATGTCGCTGACTCCATGGAGCACACCGACATATTTGTCCCTTGTCCTCAGGAATGCGGGAACAGGAGGCCTGGGCCTAGCTGTGGAGGGACCCTCCGAGGCCAAGATCACCTGCAAGGACAACAAAGATGGCAGCTGCTCAGTGGAGTATGTGCCCTACGAAGCTGGCACTTACGATGTGGTCATCACCTACGGGGGCCAACAAATCCCAGGTGAGGAATTATTCTGTCTCCAATCTGCTTGCCTCTCTCCCAACACTCTCCTTCCTTCTTAGCCTCAATTTCCTTCCTCCATCTCTCCCTCCCCCCTCTCTATTTCCTTCTTTCTTTTGATCTTTTTCCTCTCTTTCCTTGTCTCTCCTGTCTGTCTTTCTGCCCGCCTACCCTGGTCTCTCTTTTTCCTCTATCTTTCTCCTGTCCTTCCTTCCTTTCTTTCTCGTCTCTTTGTTTCTCTCTATCCACAAGTCTGTCCTCATCTTTCTCTGACTCTATTCCCTTTCTCATTCTCTTTCTCCATCTCTCTATTCCTAATCTGTTCTCCCCAACTACTCCCAGCTCCTGCACCCTTTTTGCTGAGTGATGCCTCTGGATTGGATTTTTATCTCTCCCACCATCCCTCTCTCGCTTCAGGAAGCCCGTTCAAAGTTCCAGTGACCGACACAGTGGATCCCACGAAGGTGAAGTGCCTGGGGCCTGGTTTGGGGAACAACGTCCGTGCTAATGTCCCACAGTGCTTCACGGTGGACGCCAGCAAGGCCGGAGCGGCCCCGCTGAATGTCAGCGTGGTGGGGCCTAAAGGTGAGGCTTTGGCCCCGGATGTGTTTGGGGTGGTGGTGGTGGAGGTCAGGATGGCAGTAGTCACCCCCCACCCACTATGCACCCTGACTGCACCCTTGTTTGGTTGCTAGAGGTGAGGAACAAAGCAGTACCCAGCCTCTTGGCACTTCCCTCTTGTGTCCACTGCCGCCCCCCCGACTTTTTTTTTCTATCCTCCTTTTGTAGCTTGTGTTCCCATCAAACTGATTTTAAAAAGAAAACAGGAGCAGGAGTAGGCCATTCGGCCCTTTGAGCCTTCCCAACCCCCCCCTCCCCATTCAATATGGTGATGGCTGATTAACAAACTCAGTCCCCTGTTCCCGCTTTCTCTCCCCATATCCTTTGACCCCTTTAGCCCTAAGAACTATCTCCAACTCCTTCTCGAAACGTGCAGTGTTTTAGCTCTGATTGCATTTAATGGCAGAGATTTCCAGGGGCTACCGACTCTCCGGATGAAGACATCTCTCCTCAGCTCTGTCCTAACTGGCCTGCCCTGTTTCCTTAGACTGTGGGCCCCTGGTTCTGGACTCCCTGGTCATCGTGAACATCCTTCCTGTGTTTACCCTGTCTACTCCTGTTACAATTTTATCAGTTTCTATGAGATCCTCCTCATTTTTTGAAACTCCAGTGAATATAGTCCTAACCATTCTGGTCTCTCTTCATACGTCAGCCCTGTCATCCCAGAATCAGTCTGGTAAACCTTCACTGCGCTCCCTCCATCACCAGAACATCCTTCCTCAGACAGGGAGACCCCAAAACAGCGCGCACAGTACTCCAGGTGTGGCCTACACCATGGCCCCAGTACAGCTACAGCAAGACATCCCTGCTCCTGTCTCCTGGGACAGGGCAATAATTCTTGGCATTCCCGTCCCTGAGCAAAGCTTTAAGTAAAGCCTCTGGTTTTCCGGTGAGATTTGGGATTAGATTAGTTGAATCTCAGTCAGGTGTTTGTGATGGTAAGGTTTGTTTGTTTCAACGTTAGCACCCACTCACCTTTCCCCACCCAACAGGAGTTGTGGAGCCCGTTGAAATTATTGACAACCTCGACCAAACCAAAACTGTGAACTACGTACCAACTCATGAGGGACCATACACTGTCTCAGTCCAATATGCTGACCAGCAAGTCCCACGCAGGTACTACCTACAAACGGGCTGGAACAGGAGACAGGGCTAGGGAGGGGGTGTAGGGGCTGGAGGAGGTGATAGGGAGGGGGTGTAGGGGAGGGGAGGAGGGGACAGGGATAGGGAGGGGGTGTAGGGGGCTGGAAGAGGTGACAGGAATAGGGAGGGGGTGTAGTGGTTGGAGGAGGTGATGGTGATAGGGAGGGGATGTGGGGGCTGGAGGAGGTGATAGGGATAGGGAGGGGGTGTGGGGGCTGGAGGAGGTGATAGGGATAGGGAGGGGGTGTGGGGGC